TTCAATTCACTTGACAGATCGCATCACCATCTTGTCACAAATTCAAATCGATCCAAAATAACCTATAAAATTATTGTAAGAGTAAATATTTAAAGATATTAACTAAGATACATGCAGTTTTTATACAATTATAATTAAACACTTCATACCATTCTTCTCTTATGGAATATACTGGTGACCATGTGAGACACCCATCTTAGATCACATTGAATTCACGAAGGATTTCATATATCCTTATAAAGAACTTGAAGGTTTACTGACAATTCATGTATATTTAATTAAATACATAAATGTATAAAAAAAAATCCACTTATTCATAATTATCTTATCTCATTATTGAAAGGTTGAAAATAAGTTGGAATTTTGCACATGAAAATTCTCATATTATTTTTCTATACTTTTTCCTTTTCTCCTCTTTCTTTGCCATGACTATCTTTATTTTCTATGCTGAAATAATGAGAATTCTTACAATATTTATAATTAAAATGCTCAATTGAGTTTTTATATAACTAAAACTGAAAAACCATGTAATACAAGGAATTTATGTATGAATTGATTTCCAGAAGTAAAATTATGATTACTATTAAACTTTATCAAAATCAAATAAAAAGATAAATTTATCCCTATCTAAAGCGCGCACACACGTGTTTGACCATGCTGCTAAGTTAATATTCTTAATTACTGAAAATTACATTTATCTTTATTTACTATATATCGGATCTAACTTGATTTTATTTTATCCACAATAACTTTTTTCGAGGCGAAAACTTCAAATTAATTACAAGTTACAAAAAGAGTCTAATATCGACATGTGAAACCTCGCTCTATCAATATCTAATTATTTGGCCCAAAATAATAAGAATTAATAACTATTTTACTTTAGCCTCTCCACTTCCAAAATTATTTAAAAAAATATATCTAGACCATGTTATTCCATTTTATGAAATTTCGGGGGGGGGGGGGGGGGGGGGGGGGGGGGGGGGGGGGGGGGGGGGGGGGGGGGGGGGGGGGGGGGGGGGGGGGGGGGGGGGGGGGTTGAAATTTAAATTTGAAGTCGAGCCAAGTGAAACTAATTCATAATTTAAGGTCCTAATCGAATTTCACTGTCATTTCAGTTTAGCCAGCAATGTTTATTTGTGTTAAAGAGTTTCATTTAAAAGAGAAAAATAATTTTATATTGAATAATTCCTAGTGTACACGGCAATGGCTCACAAGTGTTTTATATGGCCCCTCACTATACAGGGACTCCATATGTATTAAAAAAAAAAATTACGTGGACCCCACGTATGTGTGTAACCTGGTAGGGGACCTGGGTAAGCTTATCACGGTTGTTTTATATTTGATAAAATAAGTAACGCACTCCACCAAACAATTACTGCCCAATTGCCCATTGAGTCAGTCACGATATTTGAATTAGTATAAAATATTTTTTTATTGATTCATTTTTGAACAATCCAAAAAAGTGCGATTGATTCATTAATTCATTCTTCACAAGGCAGGCAGGGGTTACAAGTAGCTATCAACAATCAAAGCATAACCTCCGCATAATCCGGCGGTAGCTCGGATGATTCAATCCCTCAATAAATAATGTTTCATTCTTCCACTTAACCATCATCTTCAAGTATGAAAACGGAAGATTTTACCTTCCCTAGAGTTGATCCCGAGCATTTGACAGTTATACCATCTTTGTGGAGAATTTCCTCTCTTGTTCATTCCAACAGAACAGATTTCGACCTCGAAAATGGAACAAGTGGACAGATTTTCAGGAACAGTTTCTCAAAGGTTTGTGAAATGAATAAGAGAGCCAGGAATGCAGCAGCAGCAGCAGAAGAAGAGAAGATGGACATGTTGTGGGAAGATTTCAATGAGGAAATGATTCATCAGAGCATATCTTCTGCAGAAAGCAGTGGCTCAGATTCTGAACCTGAGAATAAGGAAGAAGCCATAGAGGAATGCAGTAGATGTCACTTGGAATCTGTTTCTCCAAAGAAGAAAAACTTGGTGCTGGTTGTCAAGGTTTTCAAGAAGCTTTTCTTACTTCAAAATGAGGCTTTGATCAAGAAAAGAGATATGGGCAGAGTCTAGAGAAATACGAGATACTTGTTGTTCAACATACCCAATACGTTTTAGACTTGTAATTTTACAACTCATATCCAGTAGGAATGTAGGATCCTAATCTATTTATTTCTGAAAAAGAGTTGCCTGTCATTCAGAGACCTCAGGTGTTTCCATTATCAACTGCCCTGAATCTCAACTTATCTTATCAGGATGATATCATCTTAAGAACTAGATTTCCCTTTACATGACAAATGTTGAAACATATTTTTCCTTCATTCTATCAAATACTACATGGAGTTCCTGACACAACACAGAGCTATGACATGGAGGAAAATATATTGCTTGGCCTCAACTAAGTCTTCATCTTTTATTTCAACCACTATAACCAAAATTAAAAAGTCTCACGATTATTATAACCACGTGAGATTAAGGATCTCAAAGTAACAAAATCGTACATTCAAGTGTCAAGCAATATCACTTATGATATACGAGTCTCTAAAAATGAATGTTTTTCACATTTTTCTCATGTCCGGAAAAAATAAGCAGAAGTGTACATTTCGATTGCGAAAATGTCAGAAACATAAGTCTAATTCTTGAACAACAATTACAAATATAGCCAAAACCGATACAGAGTCAGCATTTTGAGAATGCTTCTCAACAGAGCTTTTATTTTGCTTCAAAAATTGGTCATTTCCATTCATAGACAAACGAGCCATGAAGTCAGCAACATCTCCAGGATTAACTTGGCCATGGGAAGGGATTGAAAAAATCAAATGGTTCAGGCGGCCCAGTATTATCAGCTGTTACATGGGCTTCAGTACTGGCGGAAGGAAACATCAGCAAGAGGGTGACCATCAATTTTTGTGTGGATTGGTGCTCACACCTTCATCTAAACTGCCTCCAAACAAATCATCAACTGGCGGGGCAACAGATGACGAAGGATTTGCAATTCTCTGAGCACTGTGTGTTTCATAGAATTCTTGAATTTAAGCTGTCGGGATCACTTCTGAATTGTAATAGTTCCAGACTTCACAGGTTTTTCCTAGATGATTGTGTTGGAAACAAAATGAGTAAATGACTCATTTTTGGCACAATTTTCGATGGGACCTGTTGGTCCAAAGTGGAAGATCAAAATTGATTTGTATTCTCCTCCGTGAGAGCATCGATATCATATATTTACTTGTCAAAAATGAAGCTCGGGTGAATCAGAAATTGGAGCTCAAAATTCACTATTAGATTATGATTTATGTGGGAAAAATTGTGTTTGTCCCACATAGGAAAAATATGAAAGCAATAATCACTTAAAATATGGTTATAATTTGGAAGGGTGTAATCATGTGTAGCATAGAGTCTCTCTCCATGTGCGCACGTAGAGGGGTTCAAATCACGGACCGAAATAACCTTCTGACGAACCAAACAGAGCAAAAATTGGTCCGTTTGGAGAGACCAAGTTT